TCGGTTTGAACTGCAGGAGATTGTCTTGACCATGTCTACATGCCTAAATGCAATGAGTTGCCGCCATGTGATTGGCTGCTTAGAAATTAAGTGTTAACAAGCAGGTGGACAGTGTACCTAATAAAGTGGCCGGTGAGTGTATACTAGACACAAATCTTTCTAGATATTTAATTTATAAACTTTTGTCATATCTTTAACATGATACCACCTTGATGGAATAGTTTTATACACATTTTTATGGGGGTAACATTAAGCAATGCTATTTTATTGCTATGTTAAATGTATTCAGATTTCCCTTTTATGTTTCCCTATTTAGGTAGAATTAAACAACTCAGTTTAAATTGAGCTAATATATTTATTTAATGCATACTCTGAAATGTAGGCACTATAAGAATCTACCCACACTGAATGTGTCAGATTTTACACTAATTTAACAAATTCAGTTTGTTTTAACAGTGAGCTCTTCATTGTAACTTCTCAATAAAAAGGAATGTTTTCTATTTTTTTAACCACTGATTTCATGTTTTTCTGTCTCTAAGTGACCTAAGGTTTACAGAGGATTAATATTTAATGAGTTAAGAGGCCCACCGTAACTTTGCTTTAGAAAAACCCTTCAGCTTCAGACTCGGCTGCTCTGTGTGGTTCATTTGAACCATTTCTCACCAGTTCTGGTTGTGTTTCTTACATGAAGAGCACAAATCTAATTAATATGTTTACCTTCCCTTGTTTTTAAGTATTTATTTTCCTGTAATTTTCTTTTTTTTTAAACCAACATATCCGGTATGACTTGACGGAAAATCCTGCAGTTCAACGCGGCCTTCCTTATTGAACGTGGGTGTGTAAAGCCATCAGGTCAAATCCATTTGCTGCTTACAGCAGAGGTAGCTGCTCTCGTCCAAAGCCAGGCCCTTCCTATCTTTAAGCCCGATCGTTTAATGGCCTCCTGCGCTCCTCTGAGCCCGGACAGAAACAGCCCCTCTCTGGCTGGGAGCTTAAGAGCGGAAAAAAAGCTGATAGTGCTCTCACAGTCCTCTCAGAGGAAGCGACGGGATGAAGGCTGGATGGTCGTTTGCTGAGCATGTTCATATTAGAGAGGAAGATAATTATCTTCTGTGGGTGGGTGGTGGGCGATATTGAAAATGTGATGAGGCTTAAAGAACATGGTGGTGATTTAAGCTCATCATTACTTTGCACATACAAACCTCAGTCAGAAATGCTTCTGTAAAACACAATCATCTTTTCTAGAAGCTAGATTTAGTCTTATTTAGCTTCGACAACATAGGTCTGACCCGGGTTTCATTAACACTAGAGTTGATTTTAAATCTAAAAGCAACAGTTTACAAAAAAATGTATCTTTAACTTTTTTGAAAAGGTTCGTAGCAATCAGTAGGAATAAAAAGCTCATTTTTAAATTTTATTTTTAAAAGAGAAGGTCTGATTGGTCTAAACAAGCCATCAAAAGGGGTTTAAATATATCGACTTTCAAAATACACCTTATATCGGTAGCATAGTTAATTCTATATTCCCAACACTGATGTTCAAAAAGTGGGTTTATTTGGACTAATTTATGTATTTTTAAATCAATATTTTATGAAATTAAGAGATTTAAATCTTAAAAATCTTAAAAGATTTGATGGGTTTAAGCAGCAAGCGACTGGGTTTAAAAAACATAAAGACTAATATTTCATGATTCAGATGAAAGTGAGTTCCACTGTAGGTTCTATGTGGTAGCCTTGTAAAATAGCTTTGGAATGAATTGGAGCAAAGGTTGAAATTCCGGTTTTGGCATAGACCACACCCCTAAACTTTGTAGATGTTCACAGACTAGTTAAACTAGCTTTTTCTGGAAACCGGAGTCTCTCAACAAACCTAACACCATATATTAAGGATAGGATGTAATCAAAGGTCATGGAAAAGCAGACTGAATAGTTTTGGCAGTGCAGTGTAATAGACTTTCTAAGTATTTACTGTAATTTGAAGTTCAAAAACTATATTAGGCAATCATCCATTATCTGACACGCTTTTCCTAATTGGGGTCTCAAGGGGTGCTGGTGCCTATCTCCAGCAGTCAGAGGCGGGGTACACCCTGGCCAGCAGGGCAACATAGAGACAAACAACCATTCACGCACACACTCACACCCAAGGACAATTTAGAGAAGCCAATTAACTGTTGGACTGTGGGACGAAGCTGGAGTACCCAGAGAGAACCCACACATGC